GGGGCAGGCGGCGGGCTGTGGCTGGCGGGCTGCGGCAGGTGGGGAAGCCCGGGTTAAGTACAAGAGAGCAGAGTACAGCCCAGTCTTTGGGGTAGAAATACGGTGTAGTGTGGTGCGCCAGGAGGTGGCTTCCTGAGGGAGGGTCCATGAGGCCAAGTGGAGGAATAGCAATCATTGAGCATCACTCAGTTTGAAAGGTTTGACCTGGGGCGTCCTGAGTTAATCCCTGGTTTCCATAACCTCAGGACTCTCCCAAACAGGTTCCGCTGCCTTAAGGATGCCAATCCTAGGGCACCCTCGAAGTTGGAGCTGTCAGTGGTTGCCACTCCTGCTGCTGCTGCTGCTGAACACAAGCCATGAGCCAGGGGTGGAAGGTGTGACACACTACAAGGCTGGTGACCCAGTCATTCTATATGTCAACAAAGTGGGACCCTACCATAACCCTCAGGAGACTTACCACTACTATCAGCTTCCAGTCTGCTGCCCTGAGAAGATACGTCACAAAAGCCTTAGCCTGGGTGAAGTGCTGGATGGTGACCGAATGGCTGAGTCTTTGTATGAGATTCGCTTTCGGGAGAATATGGAAAAAAGAATTCTGTGCCACATGCAGCTCAGTTCTGCGCAGGTCAGCCTCTGCACATTGGCTAGAATTTAGCCCTCCCTCCCAGGAACTAATAACAGTGCATCACATTTATGGTTTTCAAAACATCTTTATGGAAATGATCTGACTTCATTTTAACTACAACCCCATGTGACAGGCAGGGCAGGTGGTATTATTTGCATTCAGTTGATGAAGAAACATAATTGCTCAGAGGTGACTTTTTCAAGACTATCTGGATAGTAAATTACAGAGCCGATATTAGAGTCCAGGGCTCCTGACTCCAAGCTACTCTGCTGGTAGTAAGCTCCCAACTATCAATGCTACATAGTTATTTCCTTCCATACTTACTTCATGGCCCTTTCTTAACTGGGTCCTTTACACTCTACCTAATCTTCCCTGTCATGCTATTTTCTTTAGCAAATCTTATATTAGGATACTTTTCCTTAATCTATTCTAGACTTTCTTACACCTTCCCTCTCTCCTTTTTCTAGGCCTTAACCCTGTCAAGTCATACTTGCTTTTGGAAAATCCTAACATACTAGGGTCTAACACAGTGGTTCTGGACAGGGGGCAGTTTTGACTCCCAAGGGACATTTGGCACTATCTGGGGATATTTTTTATTGTCACTATTGAGGGGTGCTACTCTAGTGAGAAGAAGCCAGGGATGATGGAAAGAATTATCCAGCCCCAAATGTCAGTGCCAGAAGTTGAGAAAACCTTCTCTAACCCTGTGCTGGGGAGGCCTTGATTCATTCTTGACTTGCTCTTTGTAGGTGGAACAGCTGCGCCAGGCCATCGAGGAATTGTACTATTTTGAATTTGTGGTGGACGACTTGCCACTCCGTGGCTTTGTGGGCTACATGGAGGAGAGTGGCTTCCTGCCTCACAGCCACAAGATAGGACTGTGGACCCATTTGGACTTCCACCTGGAATTCCATGGAGATAGAATTATATTTGCCAACGTTTCAGTGCGGGACGTCAAGCCCCACAGTTTAGATGGGTTACGACCTGATGAGTTCCTAGGCCTCACCCACACTTACAGTGTGCGCTGGTCTGAGACTTCAGTGGAGCATCGGAGTGACAGGCGCCGTGGTGATGATGGTTTCTTTCCCCGAACGCTGGAAATCCATTGGTTGTCCATCATCAATTCCATGGTGCTTGTGTTTTTACTGGTGGGTTTTGTGGCTGTCATTCTCATGCGTGTGCTTCGGAATGACCTGGCTCGGTACAACTTGGATGAGGAGACAACCTCTGCAGGTTCTGGTGATGACTTTGACCAAGGTGACAATGGCTGGAAAATCATCCATACAGATGTCTTCCGTTTCCCTCCATACCGTGGTCTGCTTTGTGCTGTGCTTGGTGTGGGTGCCCAGTTCTTGGCCCTTGGCACTGGTGAGGTGATAAAAATTAACCAGGGATTTTTCTCAAGGGTTAAATCTAAGTAGTTGGTTTGTTCAGAAAGGATCTGCAGATCTGTCCAAGGTGAGGGGCAGACCTAAGGGTGGGATGACTCTAGCAAGGATGTGTATATTCTAACTGTGAGTTTTCTAGGCAACAGAGTTGGGAGATAGTGTTTTGCTGGAGGCCTTGGGTCTGGGAGAACGGGGCTGATTCCTCTGAAATTGCCAGAAGAGGGATAGGTTAGACCTAACACAGATTTTCCACTACCATCCTGCAGGCATTATTGTCATGGCGCTGCTTGGCATGTTCAATGTGCACCATCACGGGGCCATTAACTCGGCAGCCATCTTGTTGTATGCCCTGACCTGCTGCATCTCTGGCTACGTGTCCAGCCGCTTCTACAGGCAGATCGGAGGCGAGCGTTGGGTGTGGAACATCATTCTTACCACCAGTCTCTTCTCTGGTGAGAGCGGCCCTGTCCCTGGTGGGCCAACTTAGGAACTTAGAACACATTGTTATGTAACTTGGGATAGAGTCAGAGGCTTCAAGGGATTGAAGATAGGCAAAACAAAACAAAAAACCAAAACAATGAGAAAACCATTCAAAAGACAAGAATGCATTTATTTTGCATAGTTAAAAATATTAAGCCCTTAAAATGTCCTAGGCACATGGTAAGCACTCAACATGCCTTCATCTCATTTAATCCTCACAATAACTGTATGAGGTAGGTAATAATGTCCCCATTTTACAGATGAGGAGATTGAATTTCAGGCTGGTTAAGTAGCTTGCCTGAGACACTTCTAAAAACTAGTGAACCAGGTTTCAGATCCAGGCAATCCAAACTCTAGAGCCTGTATGCTCAACCATTACACTGAAATAACACTCTTGAATTTATTTTTTGATACATATTTTTTTTAGTTTTCTTATTTTTGAGGTGGGCTACCCCACTCTAGCCTTTAAGTTGACTTGTCCTTTCAAAGGCAGTAGTAGTTTGCATTCTAAACCTTTTATGTTCTCAACGCTAAGGGTCTGATTTATATTCTATCACATTTATGGTTGAACCAGGGTTTTCTGAAAACGGCCTCAATCCAAAGGAATGTTTCATGCTAGGAATCATTGATGCCACAGCAGGACAGGCCCTTGGAGGCAGGTGGATTTGTGTCACTCTTAGATCATTATGTAAAGCTACCTTGATCCTTAATGATAATGGGGAGGGGTTGTTGGTAAGATAAGGAACAAGAAATGGGACATGAAAGGGTGGCATCTGCCTGGGAGCAGGATGTTTCACTCCTCTCTCCTTTAGGTCCAGTCTGAGTGGGTGCCCCCAGGGATATAGTTCCTAGTGCTGACCTTCCCCTCCCTCTGGGGGCCCATCCTTACAGTGCCTTTCTTCCTGACGTGGAGTGTGGTGAACTCAGTACATTGGGCCAATGGTTCAACACAGGCTTTACCAGCCACCACCATTCTGCTGCTTCTGACGGTCTGGCTGCTGGTGGGCTTTCCCCTCACTGTCATTGGTGGTATCTTCGGGAAGAACAATGCTAATCCCTTTGATGCACCTTGTCGCACCAAGAACATCGCCCGGGAAATCCCGCCTCAGCCTTGGTACAAGTCTACTCTCATCCACATGACTGTTGGAGGCTTCCTGCCTTTCAGGTATCCTCCCTTTGTCCTATAGCCATCACTCTCAGGTTTCTGACCTCAACTTTTCCGTTCCCCGCTCACCCCATACCCTAACCCAATGTCAGTGATAATCTCTGGTACAGCTGTACCATTAAGAGATCACTAAAGGGTTCCTCCTTTCTCCAAGCAGGACTGAGCTTGAATCAGTTGAGATGCAAGGTGTCTCACCTGTAAAGCTCTCCAGTAACATTGCTCCTTTCACCACCTCCTGGTTTATGATGTTAGTGTTTGCAAGTGCTATGTGGGTTAAAGTCCATTTGATTACTCATTCAATTTGTTGAGTACTTCTTAGTGATAGGCAAATAATGCAATGGAAAGTAAAACAGACAAGATCCCTGCTCTGAGCCTATCAATGTTTTTAAAATGAAAGCAGCTAATCATAGGTAAAAGAATCCCCAACAAGCCAGGAATTCCTGGGCAGAGAGTAGATTGGACCCACTTGCCCCAGTGACCCAGTAACATGGTGGGGTGATTTTGGCCTGGCTACTGTGCTGGCAGTGCACAGCCCTTTAATGCAGTGTCTTGTCTCTTCTCTTCACAGTGCCATCTCTGTGGAGCTGTACTACATCTTTGCCACAGTATGGGGTCGGGAGCAGTACACTTTGTATGGCATTCTCTTCTTTGTCTTCGCCATCCTGCTGAGTGTGGGGGCTTGCATCTCCATTGCGCTCACCTACTTCCAGTTGTCAGGGGAGGATTACCGCTGGTGGTGGCGATCTGTGCTGAGTGTTGGCTCCACTGGGCTCTTCATCTTCCTCTACTCAGTTTTCTACTATGCCAGGCGCTCCAACATGTCGGGGACGGTACAGACAGTGGAGTTTTTTGGCTACTCCTTACTCACTGGTTACATCTTCTTCCTCATGCTGGGAACCATCTCCTTTTTTTCTTCCCTCAAGTTCATCCGTTATATCTATGTTAACCTCAAAATGGACTGAGTTTTGGGTGGCAAAACTGCTCTTCTCCCTTTCTTCACGCCCCTTTTATCTCTTACCAGCATCTCTTCTGATTGACTGAATTGTGTGATGGCATTGTTGCCTTCCCCTATGCCCTTTGGGCCTCCCTTCCCCAGGGAAGTTCCGGAAATTATAAATCTCTATTATATAAGAAGTATATATTTGAACTTTTTAAGTTGCCTTTAGTTTTGGTCCTGATTTTTCTTTTTACAATTATCAAAATAAAATTTATTAAGAAAAAGGATCCTGTGGTTGGAGGGTTTGGTCTGGATATAGGAACTCGAGCCCTGCTGTTGACAGGCAGTGTCTCTCAGGAAGCCCGCTGCCGCGGAATGCGCCAACCTCTAGTTCACGGAGCTTGGGAACCTCGGCAGGAGGAACCTACATCGCCAGGGCGCTGTTTCCGCGGCTCAGCCGCGCTTAGCCCAACGGAAGTGGAGGAGCCGGAGCTCTACTTGCGAAGCGAGCTGTCACCCTGGCGACGGGAGGGTCGCGGAGCAACGCCCTTTCCGCCGGAAGTGGGTTTCAGAGCCTCCACGTGCTGTCCCTCCCACCTCCCGGCCAAGTAACGGCCGCTCCGCTGCTGTCATGGACCCTGCCGGCCTGGAGCAGATCCTGCGGGAGCTGCTGCTGCCGGACACCGAGCGCATCCGCCGGGTACGGGGCAGGCGGGGCCGGACTGGGGAAGCGGAAGGTTGCGGGAAGAGCCCTATTCTGATCCCTAGCCTCTTCCAGGCCACCGAGCAGCTTCAGACCGCTCTTCGGGACCCGGCCTCGCTGCCCGCGCTCTGCGACCTGCTGGCCTCTGCGGCCGATCCTCAGGTGAGGCTCCTGCCCCTTCCAGCTGAGCTTTCCGAAGTACGCCACTGGTTAAACCTCTGCACCTGCCCGGACTCTCACATGCCTGCTTCCTTGTCCCAGATCCGTCAGTTCGCAGCTGTGCTGACCCGCAGAAGACTGAGCACCCGCTGGCGACGGCTGGCAGCGGAGCACCGGGAGAGGTGGGCAGGCCAGGGGCGGGGTGGGGCGGGGCCAGGCTGAGATGGGCAGGCAGAGTACCAAACACCTTCCACCTGTGTTCCAGCCTCAAGTCCCTGGTCCTGACGACCCTCCAGAGAGAAACAGAGTAAGTGTCTTCGTCGTCCCGTCCCCGTCGTCGTCTTACCCCCCCCCCC